GTGCTTTTCAAGTCGCATCGCGGAGCCTGCATTCTCATCACAAAAAATCTTTGGGGAGCTTGCTGGAGGGAGTGCCGCATTATCAACATTAAATAATAATAATAATAATATAATGTAATCCTTGCATTTGATATAGCGCCTTCTCACGTCATGGAATACCTGCAGGTGGGGGTAAGTGAAGCTGGTGACCTAAGCACACTCTCTTCACCTCTCTCTCGATCCTCGAGTCTTGAACATTTTCCCTCGGCAACAACCGCAGAACAACAATCCCACAGTCGGCCAGTCTCACCTGATAATAAACCTCATCACGTCTCTCTTTCAAGGACTCCAAACCTCCCGCGCCCCCTCCCTATGAGTCATCCATCCTCCTCACTGACATTCAGCCACTCCACATCGCTCCAAACCTCCTCCATCTTATCCAGTGTTCCAGTCCCAAACATTGCGCCCACAGAGAGATTCCACACACACGTACTTGAGGGTCCACCGCCAACTCCTCTCATCCAGTTCACTGCCTCTCTGGCAATTTCTCTGCTGTGTGCAGAGCACTGTAACATCAGCCTGACTCAGCCCGAAACTCTCACCACTTTGGGTCAGACGGTTGCGGGTTCAGAGTCCGGGCTGACACTCCAACGCAGTGCGTGAGGGAACCGTGCATTCTCAGGGATATCGTCCTTCAACGACGACGGCAACAACAACACCTTGCACTTACACCGCGCCTTTCGTGTTCGGAGGACGTCCCAAGGCGCCAGACAGTCAAGGGTTTGCACCTGAGCAAAATTGTTCACTCAATCCACAGTCTGTTTGTGGGGACGCTGCGGTGCACGATCGGCTGCCGCGTTTCGCCCACAAAACCCACAGTCACTCCGCTTTACAGCGTGGTCAGGACACTGGGAGAGACAGAGAGAAACTCCCTTCTCTTTCCACATCGTCACAAGATCTTTAACGTCCACCTGGCAATACCGTATTTCCCGTAATAGTAACACTGTACTGTACATACTGTAGTAAAATACAACTCTACCGTATTTACACCAATAGCAATGCCCCTATACGTGTCAAGTGCAATTTTTTTTGTTGCTAAGATGTGTGTCTGACACAAGCGGAAACCTGTCACTATGGTTAAGAGAATCCAAACCAGGCTTCAAGTTCCACCTGCGTATGCCACCTACACACAGGTTGGCGAGAGCCAAGGCTTGGAGGCCCCAGAGTGTGCGTTGGGGTAACTGCTGGAGTCTGACCAGCTAAACCCACACACAGCTTGGCCACTGAGAGCGCTGTCCGGCCAGGCTTTCCCGTGGCTTGTCCAGCTAGGCCCCCTCTCCCTGTTGGTTAGGGCTTTGGCTGCAGGGTTAGGATTAGGAAGGATTCCCTGCCCTCAGTGACTGGTCGGCCCTTCCAGGTCCTGCCGATGAGCCAGGCCAGGCTGTGGTGTCATCAGCAGTGAGTGCCCTGGAATACTATGGACCTGCCTGGCTCAGGAACCAGACTAGAGACCATCACAGAGGGTTGACTAGGTTCTGACATTCCGTTGCCAGGCATGTCACCTTGGAGTCAGATCTAGAGCAAACCCGAGCATTAATTTTGCATTAATTATGCTCTGGCCAGTAGCTGCAGATCGATTAGAAATCTCTGGAAATCGAGAGACAGAAGGAGACCACAGACCCAGCCATCATCATCATCATCATCATCCCTGGATTTGATATAGCGCCTTATCACGTCTTCAAGGTACCTCAAAGCGCTTCACGGAATATACTGTAAAGTGAATTAACTGTATACATTTTGTGGGTGAAATGTGGCAGCCAATTGCGCTCAGCGGTGTCCCACAAGCAGTTTTGAAGGGAATAATTCCCCCTGGAAAAGGGATCCGCCAATCGACTTACAACCGGGTTCCTACTTACTGCTGGGTAAACAGATGGGTGTGAGTGGAGTAAGGAAACTTGCCCAAGGTTTCGCCCTGCCCGGCCGGGAATCGAACCCAGGTCCTCTCGCTTGCGAGGCGAGTGCTCTAACCACTGAGCTACAGGGACTCCACAGTCACGTACCAAACAGCAGGGTTATGCAGGAGATCGGTGAACACTTCCCTCTCAACACAACATTGTCAATGGCCCTCTCCATCAGCACCCACCACAGCACAGCCAGAGGCTCTCACACACAGTCAGTGAGACAGCGAGGCCTTGGGCCGGGAGCAGGTTACACACTCGACCTCTGCCTCATGGTACTGAGCACTCTCTCCTTGTCCCACCACATAGCCATTCCTTTACTGACCGAGTCACAATGTCCTACAGGCTGGTCTGAGGCTCTATCAGAGTGGGCAAGTCCCACCATCACCACCTCCCACTTCCCGACACACAGGCCCCCCCCCCCCACACACACACGCACATACATACACAAGACACATACACATGTAGATCCACAACACATATGCACGTACTCACAGATCATACATATACACAGCATACATATACACCATCCCCTATACACCCCACACCCCCCAACAAATACGCAAGGCACACACATACTAACAGAACACATATACACACACACACACACACTACCTGGTCAAGTCCACAACACAGATACACGCATTCATACACCCCCTCACCCAGACGCGCGCACCACACACACGCACACACATGCATGCGCACACACCACATACACACACACACACCACACACACACACATACACCACACCAAACACATACCACATCGCACCCACACACCCACACACGGTTTCTCTCAGTGGCCTGGCTAACAATCTCACAGATAAATCGGCCGCTCACTTCATAGCTGTTTGTGTGGACGACGCTGTATACTCGATTGGCTGCCGCGTTTCACCCACAGACAGTTATTGGACTTGACAGCAATTCCCAGGAAGGGCTTTGCCACGTTTGGCCAATTGGCCAGCGCTGTGTCACAGCACCGGGAATATTATCGCGGGGGACGTGAGCTCGGGCCTGGGTGCCTGCCCCGGCCTCAGCCTCGGAAATCTGGAGAAAACTGTCACGAGAGCGTGAGCTGAGACAGTGACTGCTCCGGAGCCCAGGTCAAACCAAACACACTGCAATCCAGGCCCATTTCAAGGGCACCAGGCCATCGACCTTGTGGGCATCTGGTCCTAAGGAGCGAGACGACCCAATTTCTACTGTCTCTGTGTCTCTGTCTCGCTCTCTCTGGGCTGTTCGTGGCTGACAATGCCAGATGTGGGGAAACTGACAACCATCACAGCAACACCCAAGAGTCACTTTGCCCCCTCAACATCCCAGAATTATCCTCATTAACCAAACCCTACACTAGTGCAATCTGATGTAACCTCCACAAACCACATACCTCTCTCTTGCTGTCTCTCTCTCCCTCCCTCCCTCCCTCCCTCGGTCACCTCTGCTCCTTCCCCCCCTTTTCATTCACAACCTCTTTGCCAATCGGTTTGGCAAACCTCAGAGGAATTATTTTGTTGGCTGTTAAAATATCCGTTTCCATCCACTCCCATGTTTTACTGCCACTCTCTCTCGGTCTCTCTCTGCAAAGGCCCAAAAACTGCCCACCCCCTCCCACCCCAATATACACATACATAGGCACACACATACACACATACACACATACACAAATACTGTCAATGTCATACTACAAAATGCAATTTGCATCAGCCCCAAATGCGGACGCACACACACACACACATATATATATATATTTATGTACACAAATAAATAAAAATGATAAGTGGGGAAATGAAACCAACACAAGACGGCGGAGGGTTTGGAGAGGAGGTGGAGGGGGTCAGGGGTCTGCTGTTACCCCCCATCCATCAAACAGACAGACACAGAACACCAACAAAAGTATTTATCCTTCAAAAAGGCTCAAAGTGAATCAACCTCCAGCCCAAGAATTGCTTTCTCCCCATCAATAAATCTCACTGTTTGCTAAGTTGTTATATTTTGCTTAGGATGGGGGTAGATGGGGGGGATGGGGAGATGGGATTGGGGGAGATTGGGGGGGGGGATGGGAAACGGGTGATGGGATGATGGGGGATAGATTTTGGGTGGGTGGTGGGGGAGGGGATACTGGGGTCGGGGGGGGGGGGGTGGGGGGGGGAGGGGATACTGGGGTGGGGGGGGATGAGGGATTCCCAGATCTCCACACCACCCTTCCCCCTTTCCCCTTTCCTCCCCACAGACGGGGTCCCAGGCTGGGAGGGAGGAAATGAGAGAGGGATGGAGAGAGAATGAGAGAGGGAGGGAGGGAGAGGGAATGAGGGAGGGATGGAGAGAGTGAATGAGAGAGGGAGGGATGGAGAGAGTGAATGAGAGAGGGAGGGATGGAGAGAGTGAATGAGAGAGGGAGGGATGGAGAGAGGGAATGAGAGAGGGAGGGATGGAGGAGGGATGAGAGAGGGGAGGGATGGATGGAGAGCGGGAATGAGAGAGGGAGGGATGGAGAGAGTGAATGAGAGAGGGAGGGATGGAGAGGGAATGAGAGAGGGAGGGATGGAGAGAGGGAATGAGAGAGGGAGGGATGGAGAGAGGGAATGAGAGAGGGAGGGATGGAGAGAGGGAATGAGAGAGGGAGGGATGGAGAGAGGGAATGAGAGAGGGAGGGATGGAGAGAGGGAATGAGAGAGGGAGGGATGGAGAGAGGGAATGAGAGAGGGGAGGGATGGAGAGAGTGAATGAGAGAGGGGAGGGATGGAGAGAGTGAATGAGAGAGGGAGGGATGGAGAGAGTGAATGAGAGAGGGAAGGGATGGAGAGAGTGAATGAGAGAGGGAAGGGATGGAGAGAGGGAATGAGAGAGGGAGGGATGGAGAGAGGGAATGAGAGAGGGAGGGATGGAGAGAGGGAATGAGAGAGGGAGGGATGGAGAGAGGGAATGAGAGAGGGAGGGATGGAGAGAGGGAATGAGAGAGGGAGGGATGGAGAGAGGGAATGAGAGAGGGAACCGCAGGATTGCGCAAAGCTTTCACCCACCGCAGTGCGTGTGGAGCGGCACTGGATGTCCTGTGGCTTTACCTGGAGATGTGAGTCCCTGATGTCTCCTCTTCTCTCTCCTCTTCTCTCTCTCTTTCTCTCTCTCCACGATTTCCTGCTCTCCTCCAGAGGCTGTTGTCTCTCTCTCCTCCCTCTCTCCCCCCTCTCTCCCCCCTCTCTACCCCCTTTGCTCGTCTCTGACTCTCAGACGCCGCATTAGAGCAAACAGCATCAACGTGCGCGTTCCTCCCCCACAATGCGCGTCCTCGCCCGCAGCATCCCCTGATATACAGGACCAGCCTCACCCCCCACCCCCTCCCCCCTCCCCCTCCCCAACCCCCCCAAACCCTCCTCACCCCCCACCCCCTCCCCAACCCCTCCCCACCCCCTCCTCACCCCCCTCCCCACCCCCCACCCCCCTCCTCACCCCCTCCCCACCCCCTCCCCAACCCCTCCTCACCCCCCATCCCCCTCCCCACCCCCACCCCCCTCCCCACCCCCCACCCCCCTCCCCAACCCCTCCCAACCCCCCAAACCCCTCCTCACCCCGACCCCCCTCCCACCCCCTCCCCACCCCCCCTCCCCAACCCTCCTCACCCCCCAAACCCCTCCCCACCCCCCAACCCTCCCCAACCCTCCTCACCCCCTCCCACCCCCCCTCCCCAACCCCCAAACCCTCCCCACCCCTCCCCAACCCTCCCCAACCCCTCCTCACCCCCACCCCCTCCCCTCCTCACCCCCACCCCCCTCCCCAACCCCTCCTCACCCCCCACCCCCTCCCCACCCCCCAAACCCCTCCCCACCCCCAACCCCCTCCCCCCAAACCCCTCCGCAATCTCCAAACCCAACCCCTCTCCACATCCCCAAACTCAAACCCCCTCCCCCGCAAACCCCTCCCCCCAAAGCCCCCTCCCCATGCCCAACCCTCTCCATCCTTTTCAACCCCCACCCCATCCCCAACTCCAACCCCGATCCCTTCCCCCCCAACCCCTCTCTTCAGGCTCTATCTACCTCAGGAGACCAACCCCCCCCCCCCCCACCCCCACACACACACCTCAAGCTAAATAATAATAATAATAATCCTTGCATTTGACTGCAGCGCCTGATCGCACCTTCGAGACGTCTTCAAAGCGCTTCGCAGGTTATACTGTACAGTGTAGTGACTGTATATTTTGTGGCCAAACACGGCAGCCAATTGCTCCCGCAGTGTCCCTACAAACGGTTGTGGCCCAATTTTTTTGGAAGGGATTATTACCCCCGGAAAGCAATGCACTAATTTGACTGACAACCGGGTTCCTACTGACTGCTGGTGAACAGAGGCGCATGTGTGTGTGCGTGTGTGTGTGTGTGTGTGTGTGTGTGTGTGTCTCAGTGTGTGTGTGCGTGTACATGTTTGTGTGTGTGTGTCTGTATGTGTGTGTATATGTTTGTGCGTATGTGTACGTTTGTGTGTATCTGTGTGTGTGTGTGTGTACATGTTTGTGTGTGTCTGTGTGTGTGTGTCTATGTCTGTGTGTGTGTGCACGCGTGTGTGTGTGTGTACATGTGTGTGTGTGTGTGTGTGTGTGTCTATATCTGTGTGTGTGTGTGCACGCGTGTGTGTGTGTGTGTGTACATGTGTGTGTGTGTGTGTGTGGGGAGTAAGGAAAGTTGCCTAAGGTTTTGCTCCCTGTCCCACCGCCCGGGAATCGAACCCGGGTACTCTGGTTTGTGAGGCGAGAGGTCTAACCCCTGAGCTACAGTTCTCCACTAAAAGTGACTGTGTGCTGGTTTTGAAATTTGCTCAAGTATATTTTGCCCAATCTCAGCAGAAGGAAGTTAGTTAGTTAGTTAGTCAGTTTGTTTGTTTGTTTGTGTATCATATCAATAATTATGTATATAAAGTGAATGCAGATATATATAATCGCTTGAAAATAATAATAATTTGGTCCCTCAATCCATGACTGTTTGTGGAGACGTCGCTGTGCGCAATTGGCTGCCCCATCATTTTGCCACAAAATACACAGTCATTACACTTTGCCATATGTCCCGGCGAAGCGCTTTGAGATGTTTCAACGGCGCAATGAGGCGCTGTATCAAATGCGAGGATTATTATATTATTATTATTTTTATTATTATTATTATTATTATTCTAATCCCCGAAAGAACATTAATCAGATGAAAGGGTTTAAGACTAAAAGCCAAAGCCAATCGCCGACAGCAAACTCCTCACACAGCACAGGGACCAGGAACATCATTGAATTACAGCCTTTAACCGTTCGTCCCCTGGAAGCCCATACAGTTATTGCCCAGAAAATCGAAGCGTTTTGATGCCAAAATAATAACCCTGTGCATAAAAATATTAATTTGCTCAGAAACGCCACACAATTCCCCCTCATTTTACGGTGATTTATGTTCATCTACGCGCGCGCGTGTGTGTGTGTGTGTGTTTTTTTTATATAATCTTTTGAACCCGGGTCCTCTCTGGCTTCCGAGGCGAGAGCTCCACAGAATCCATGGCCCGGGCAGGGACACGGGAGGGAAGGAACACAGCAGTGAATCACTGTCACAGCCCCGGCTTTGAGAGAGACGAGAAAACAGTTAATGAGACTGTTAAAGTTTTAAGTAAAGAGCAGAGGCAGCGGGGAAAGATCAAACACGGCCTGTGGAGTAGGTCACACAGCACTTATGTCCACTGGAGTTTACGGCCAATAGATCAAGACAGACGGCTCCATTGGAGGAGAAATGACCAACATTCATCAACTTAGCGCAGAAGTTAATAAAGGGACTTAAAAAGGAAACGTGTGCCGGGCGATGGGGTGGGAGCTGCGGAGCGGGACGGTGTCGGTGGCTCTGTTTAAAGAGCCGGTGCAGGCACGATGGGCCGAACGGCCTCCCTCTGCGCTGTAAGATTCTCGGATCTCCTCGGGTTCGATACAGCGCCTTATCATGTCTTCGGGAAATCTCAAAGCGCTTCACGGGACATACCGCAAAGTTTAGTGACTGTATAACTTGTGGGCGAAATTGCTGGAAGAGTGCAGAGAGTTTATAATATTAATAATAACAATAATCCAAGCATTTGATACGGCTCCTTATCACGTTGCTGAGACGTGATTAAAGCGCTTCACGGAATATATTGTCAAGTGGAGGAACTGTACATTTTCTGGGTGACCAGGGCAGGAAACCTGCGCACAGGGATGTCCCCACAAACAGCCGTGAGGTGAGGTGGGGTGGGGGGGGGGGGGTGTCGGGGGAAGAGTGTAGAGGGAAATGAACGGTGAGGGTACGGATTCTGACAGACGACTTGAGCGGAGACGAGGTGGAAGTTTAATGAGACAAACACAACATTAAAATAAAATAAAATAAAATAAAACCATCGTCTGGAGACGGCTGACCTTTTGGGGGACATTAAACGGCTTTAATTGCCAATCAGTTCGTCTCGAAACAAACCCCGCGACCGTTTTAATCTTCGTGTCTCTGACTGTCGGGAACTTCACTGAACGGTTGACAGTCAGTGTTAGTGGGGGGGGGGCACTGGGGGGGGGCACTGGGGGGGGGGCACGGGGGGGGTGCACTGGGGGGGGGCACTGGGGGGGGGCACTGGGGGGTGGCACTGGGGGGGCACTGGGGGGGGCACTGGGGGGGGGCACTGGGGGGGGGCACTGGGGGGGCACTGGGGGGGGCACTGGGGGGGGGCACTGGGGGGGGCACTGGGGGGGGCACTGGGGGGGGCACTGGGGGGGGCACTGGGGGGGCACTGGGGGGGGCACTGGGGGGGGCACTGGGGGGGCACTGGGGGGGGGCACTGGGGGGGGGGCACGGGGGGGGGGATTACAAGATGGTTCATGGCACATGGAGTTACTGACACGAACCACTGATGAGAAGCAGAATCCCAGGAACCAGAGCCCTCACTGCGGGTTCACTGACACTATAGCACAGCCCCAGAGGTTAGTCACTGACACAAGGAACCCCATCACCGACAGAGCAGTCAATACCACCAGTGAGGAACAGCAAAGAGGACATCCTCCCTCCATCCCTCCCTCTCCCTCCCTCCCTCCATCCCTCTCCCCTCCCTCCCTCCCCCTCTCCCCCCTCTCTCCCTCCCTCCCCCTCTCCCCCCCTCTCTCCCTCCCCCTCCCCTCCCCCTCTCTCCCTCCCTCCTTCTCTCCCTTCCCTCCCTCCCCCCTCTCCCTCCCTCTCTCTCTCCCTCCCTCCCTCTCTGGAGGTAGGCACTGCCTCCCTCAGTAAACAGGAGACTGGTTTACGGGAAAGTGCTTTCCTGGACTGCAAATGAATTCCTAAATGAATAATACATCTCTCTGTGATCTGATTCTAACTTATTAATGTCTCCTCCTGCAGTTAAACAGCCATCTGTGAGGTTGTCAATGGGGAGAAAACAACACTGAGACACTCTCGATCTCAGCAACAACAGCGACAAATTACATTTGTATAATAATAATAATAATAATAATAATCCTTGTTCTGGTATTCTGGAGGAATGAGATCAATTTAGGATTTTGTGTGCGTGTCACATTAAATGATAATTAATATCTGGTGCTCTCTTTAGCAGGAACTCTCCCTTGGTCGTAATAATAATAATAATAATCCTTGCATTTGATATGGTGCGTCCCAAAGCGCTTCACAGAATAGACTGTAAAGTGAATTGACCGTATATTCGCGGGCGAAACGCGGCGGCCAATTGCACACAACAGCGCCCCCCACAAACAGCCGGGGATTGAGGGATCAAATGACTATTTATTCATCTTGAAGGGATTATTGCGAACAACCAGGTTCCTCGTTACTTGGGGGGGAAACAGAGGAGCCTGGAGCGTGGAGTAAGGAAACTTGCCTTAGGTATCGCGGTTCCTTACTCCACGCGCCTCTGTTTACCCCGAGGTAAGCGGGAACCCGGCTGTTAGTCGGTAGGATTGTCACCACACACCGTGGATTGAACGTGACTGATTTATTATTGTTTGGGAGGGATTATTATTATTATTATTATTCGTGGAGTCCTGTAGCTCAGTGGTTAGAGCACTCGCTTTGCAAGTGAGAGACCTGAATTCAATTCCAGGCAGAGGGTGAAACCTGGGCAAGTTTCCTTACCCCACACAGAGCCTAATAATAATCCCTCCAAAACCAAAAACAATAATAAATTGGTCATTTTCAATCTACGACTGTTTGTGGGACATTGCTGTGCGCAATTGGCTGCCGCGTTCGCCCACAAATATACAGTCAATTCACTTTACAGTGTGTTCTGTGAAGCGCTTTGGGACGTCCTCCCGACGTGAACAGCGCTATATCAAATGCAAGGATTATTATTATTATTATTATTATTA